GTTAAACAACTATATCACCACTTCAACTTGAAATTTCGGACCAGCCAATCTCTCCACCAATTGGTTCTTCTCATACAGCGTAACATTCACAGTAAGCTCCTCATTCCCCATTTCCTCTTGCACCTTTACCATTTCCTTAACCGAAACAACAAGGGACTCATTGCAGTCGGCCAACCGTATCCATTTCAGCGTCGGTATCTCTCCAATTTCCAAAGGAATCGCCTTCAGGTTTCGAAAATCTTCAAGATCAAGGCGCTCAAGGCAAGGAAAGTGGTCCCAATCTTCCATCGTCCACTGTTCCAATTCAGGCCACATATGGATCTCCAAAACCTTGAGCCTACAAAACTGGCCTCCGGCCGTTTCCCACTTGAGCCCTTTGCAGGACCGAAATTTCAGCTTGAGCACCTCAAGATGTGGAAGATAGCCAACCTTAGCCGCCAAATCATCCCAAAGGAAGCTGGCGCGTGCTAACGTCAACTTCCTGAGCGAATGTGGGAACACGAGGCTCAAAGCCAAGTCGTGTTCTCGTCTTATGAACGGCTCTTCCGTGCATACAAAGTTGCAAACAAGTGATTCCAATAAACGCAGCCGGTAGAGACTGTCGAGATGGTAATCATCACGCGACGAGGTTTTCGTGTACGGCAGCATCAGATCCAGCTTCTTCACGTTGGGGATTCTCCTGACTGCCTCCTCACCCCACTCGCAAGTCGACACCGTCTTGAGCGTCTGTAGGTCCCACAGAACAGTCGAATCATTGTCACGACCAGTTGGTGGGGGTTCCGGAAGATGGAACGTGAAAAGTTTCACGTGCCTCAGTCTAGGCATCTTCCATATGTCGATCACTGGTGGAGCAGAAGCAACTCTTCCACTCCCAACTTCAAGGTGGATTATCAACGTCTGTAGATTCCAGAGGTGGTAGAAAGAAGACGGGAAGCGGTCGGGTCTCGATAGCCGAGCCGCAGCCACAATGTGTCGCGAGTTGACCGGCCGAAAGATGTCTTTCAGGGAATACCCGTATTCCGCAATGAAAACTTCGATGCGGTGGAACACCTTCAACAATCGGCAAGGATGCCGCCGTAATTTGTCCGCACTGCAAATCAACGAACGAGCAAGCATTGCGGATCGAACGGCGTTACCAACTGCGCGGGGAACGTGTTCGCTGCTCCCTTCTCGTCTCTGAATTCCTATGCGCCGTTGGGTGTGCCAGATTTGCTCGGTGTTGGGTCTATCTGTTGCTGCTACACAAAAGAATCTATCCTTTTCGGCTTCTTTCATGCATAGGTCTCTCAAGAGATCGTGGATTCCGAAACGCTTTATGTCTCCATGGTGCCCAAACTCTTGAACTAAGATAAGATTTCGCTGGACGAGATCTTTTAAGTACTCCTCGGCGGCGGCCTCTAGGGTTTTATCTCCGATCGGTTTCAAAAACCCTTCGGCTACCCATAGATTGACGAGCGTGGAGGCCTTCACCAGTTGGTCCTCGGGGAATATTCCCATGTAAATAAAACACGGCTTTAGATGAACCGGCAAGTGGTTGTAACTCAAACGTAGTATTCTCAAGCAACGCTCGTTGTCGTTTAAATTCACTACCGAATTTAGATTTTCCGCAATGTATTGCCAGTGTTTGCGCGTTTGGACGGACATGGCGAGTAGTCCTCCGGTCACCACTATCGACAGAGGAAGACCTTTGCAGTTTTTCGAAATCTTCTTCCCAATTTCTTCCAATTCCGGAGGGCAGTCTTTCTCTCCAAAGACGCTTTTCCGGAACAAGTTCCAACTATTGTCCTCGTTTAGAAATCCCATCCCGAGGCCACGAGAGCCGCTCAGCTCGAAAGCCAAGTCAGACAGCCGAGTAGTTATAACTATCCTACTCCCGTTATTGTTATCGGGAAAGAAAAACTTGACCTTGTCCCACGCACGGACGCTCCACACGTCGTCCATCACGATCAAATACTTTTGACCACATAATGTTTTGTATAATATTTCTCCTATTTCGTATTCCTTCTTTTTGCTCAACACTTCCCTACTCCCTATGACTTTAAGACAAACAAGGACTTCCAGGAGAATTTCTTTCGACTCGTATTGTTGGGAAACCGTAGCCCAACCGCGAAGGTAAAAATATTCCTCGACAGTTGGATTTGAATATAAATTTCTTGCAAGAATGGTCTTACCTATGCCGCCCATGCCGACAATGGGTAGGATCTGGCGAGCCGAGTGCTGTCCCATCAGCTTATCCATGGCTTCAAGCAAGACATCATCGAGGCCCACCATGGAGCCGTTGAGCCCTGAAGGGTGGGGTCTCGGCCCGCCAGCTGGCATTGAATAATTTCTCTCCAGCTGGCATCCTAACTGCTTCACGATCTCCTCCGCGTCTTTCTTGATCAAATCCAAGTCCTGCATCACTTTCTCCAGACCATGATGATAAATGTCGACCGGACGGATATTTTCCTCACAGATCGTGGGTTTGCATAAACCTCCAAAGAATTTGAAGAAATTGGATTTGTTTTCACTTTTGGCATTTGCAGCTTGAATCTGATCGACCACATGGGATTCAATTACGTCCTCTGCTTCGTAGGATGCCTCTGCTATACGACCCTCCAAGCACTCGAAATCTTTGATGGCACCGCCGTTAGTGGAATAATTCTCGAGGAAGTCCTGCAAGAATGTGAGATTTTGTGTAAGAGATTGAACGTGTCTTGTGTGGAGAGAAATTGGAGGGCGAGGATGATTTTGGATCTGGTTTATGGTGTGGGTCAGAGAAAGGAGAGCTGCATAAGCTGCCATCTCTAAATTTGACCTCTGTTATGTTATGTTTGTGTGTGAAGTTTATGCAGAAATGCAAGCACTATAAAAAGGCCAGCTTTAATTTGGTGGGGTGGTTTCTCAGAAGGTGGATAGATTGGAAATATATGGAGGGCTGCTACTTGCCAACATGTATGTACTATTATTACTATTATTATACTTATAAAAGATTGAATGTCTTTTTTTTATTCTGGTTTTTTGCTATTTCTGTGAGGGGCCGAAGGAAGAACATGGCTATTTCTGAGTGAGTTTATGTGTATGTGAAAAGACATTGGCCCACACGTGTTGATATTACAGGCAGCAGCCTCTGGCCGACGGCTTTCTTTATTTGACCACTGATTCATTTGTTTGAGCAAAAGATCCAATTGGCATTCAAAAGTGGTCCAAATTTCTTTTCTAACTTAAATGGGAATTAAAATAACACACGTAATCTAAAGTACTAACTTGCATAGTGCACATTCATGTGCATGCACATCATAATTGAAACGGATTCTCATAATCCGTTTTTTAAATAAGACTTAATTGCAAATAAAACCATGACCTTTTTAAAATTTATAATTTTATGTACGACTTTTAAAGTTGGCAAATATATGCACCACTTTCACTTTTCTTGGCAATTCTATGAAGAGGGCCTAATTTCCGACTTTTATTGCTGATGTGGCGAATTTATGGCAAGTTGGGGATAAATAAAACCATGACCTTTTTAAAATTTATAATTTTATGTACGACTTTTAAAGTTGGCAAATATATGCACCACTTTCACTTTTCTTGGCAATTCTATGAAGAGGGCCTAATTTCCGACTTTTATTGCTGATGTGGCGAATTTATGGCAAGTTGGGGATAAAAATTAAACGCTACTGGGGTTTGAACTCACGACCTAAAGGTAGTATATTGACATTGTAACCATTACACCAATATAAGTTATATGTCTAACTTAATAGCGTTTAATATATAGATACAACGTACGAATAATCAAATTAAATATAAAAGATAATGTAAATTATATTTAATAATATTAATAACATATAAACTTATAATAATTAAAATATAATAAAATAAATTGTATATATTAAATGCAAAAAAATAAATTAAAATAAAGTAAGATAAAATTTATTATAGTAGAGTGCATTAAAATTAAATTACATTTAAATATATTTATATATTTAATATTTTATTAAAATAAAATTAGTTATATAAATTTGAAAACAAATTTAATGTACTCTACTATAATAAATTTTGTAGGATAAATATATAATATATTTAAATTTAATTTAATTTTAATGTACTCTACTATAATAAATTTTATCTTACTTTATTTTAATTTATTTTTTTAACTAATATATATAATTTATTTTATTATATTTTAATTATTATAATTTTATATCTTATTAATATAATGAAATTATTTTTATTTTTTTAATTATTGGAAGCTCCCATTTCCATTTATATCTACACATATAGATGAAATTATTTTTATTTTTTTAATTATTATAAGATACTGTGAATTTCGAAAATTGAATAGACTCACACGTGTGCATATATGATAAAATAGTTTTATACATTTTATTTTAAGTGTATTTATTTATTTTTAAATTAGCTACATTAATAAAAATTATTAACATACATTAAATATTTAGCATTACATAAAAAAATATATTAGTTAAAATATATTACAAAAAACGTCCACGTCACCAAGGAAAGCCCGAAATTGGGCCATCTGCATAGAATTGCAAAAAAAAGTGAAAGTGGTTAAAAGTCGTGCATAAAATTACAAATTTCGAAAATGTCATAGTGTTATTTTGCAATTAAGCCTTCAAATAATTCTCGTTTTTCAAATAAATTATTTGAAAAACGGACTATGAGAATCCGTTTTTCAATCAGGATGGCTCCGGATGGCTCCATAGCAGAACTGGCATAGGCTAAATAGATTTAATTTATAAATAAAAATCATTGTTCAATTTTAGTTATATGAATTGGACTTGTTAAAATAAATGTGTTTTTTTTTTTCCAACTCAATCTGATACGGGACACCGTACTAGTATAGACAAGTCGAGTGCGACCTGAGTGGAGTGGTTATACTAATTTGCATCGTTGTTTGGGTAGCAATTGGAGAGTAGTTCAAATATAGAGGTTTATTAAGAATGGCACGTTTTGTTCATTATGGATTAAAATTATCTATCTACTATATAATTAGGCAACACACTTGCCATTTTTAAAAAGTTTTAAGTGGGTTCTACAACACTCTTACTATTTTTAGAAAGTCCTCACATTGTTTGACACATGTTCATATTTATGTTAATATTAACTACCTCAACTAATATTTATTTAGTTTACAATAACTACCAAAGATCCATTACTTAATAATTTTATCCGTTGTGACTCATTTTTTTAATTCAAACAATTAAAAGTACGGGATGTTTGTACTTTACAGATATTTAATAAAATTTTATTTTATTTTTTATTAAATATTTTAGTTTAAATTATTTATCTAATTTTCATAATTTATACTTTACAAATTAAAATAATTATAAGTGTTCGTATGCTTCTTGCCTGAATTTTATAAAACAATTTTATCTTAAATTTTGTACATAAAAATAAAATCTAACAGTAGTTAAATTAGATATAAATATATTAAAAACATGCACAACGAATAACACTCAACGTCATAATAAATAAATAAATAAATAAATCATGTTTGTAGAATATTTTTTGATTCATTTTCCACAACAAGTTGAAAATTCCAAAACATATGATCATGATTAAATTAATGTACTAAACACATAGTATTACATATATATGCAATATATGTAATAAATATTAGATTACATAATATAAAGGGTATTTCGTAAATACCTTTTGTATTAATTAGTAATATTGCGATAACATAAAATTATGATTTAAGTGTTAAGGGTAGGTATTTAATTATTTTAGACTTATAACTTTATGTATGTTCATAAAATATTTTGTTTTTTAATACGTAAATCAGTCAAACATACTTAACACTAAACAAAGTCCAAAACAAAATAAGATCATAAAATTTTTATTTTAAAAAAAATATTAATCTAATATATGGAAGTTAAAAATACACACGTAAAACCATGAAAGTCAGTTTGAAAGTTAAAGTCATGTCGAAGTTAAAAATAAACACGTTTGAAATTTACATGGTTAGTGGCTTGAATAGTTACCTTGCGCGGCAGTATTTTTTATTTAAGTAAGATATATAGATGTTGTACTTAATAAATACGAAGTTGATTATTCATTTATGTACCATCACACTCACATCTCTTCCACATCTTACCCAAACAATTGCTTACACACTGAGGTATATAAAACATAATACATAATATAAAGATTATTTTGTAAATACTTTTGTATTTATTAGTAATATCGCGATAATATAAAATTATGATTTAAGTGTTAAATGGTAAATATTTAATTATTTTAGACTTATAAATTTATGTATGTTCATAAAATATTTTTTTTTAATACGTAAATCAATCAAACATATTAAACAACACTAAACAATGTCTAAAATAAAATATAATCATAAGATTTTTTCTTTTTTTTTTAAAAAAAATATTAACCCAACGCAGTAACACGTCTAATACATGGAAGTTAAAAATACACACGTAAAACCGTGAAAGTCAGTTTGAAAGCTAAAGTCATATGGAAGTTAAAATACACACGTTTGGAAGTTACATTGAAATACACGCGTTTGGAAGTTACATTGTTAGCGGCTTGAATAGTTACCTTGCTCGCCAGCAATTTTTTATTTAGTAAGATATATATGTTGTAGTTTATAAATACACAATTGATCGATTATTCATTTATGTATCATCACATTCACATCTCTTTCACATCTTATTCAAATAATTGCATACACACTGAGGTATAAAAGATAGAATGGAGTATCAAAGTCCGTGTGATGCGATGTTACGAAAGGACTGCTCTCGAGATGAAAATATCGTTTTCTGGGAATTGATATTCCACGACACAGAGGTGATTCTTTTAAGACATTTTTGTGATCCGATGTTACGAAGAGATGGTAGAACGAAGAAGGGAACCGGTCGGGCCTCGATATCTGAGCCGCGGCCACAATGTGCCGCGAGTTGACCGGCCGGAAGACGTCTTTTAGGGAATACATGTATTCTGGAATGACAACTTCGATGCGGTGGAACACCTTCAACAATCGCCAAGGACGACGTCGTGCCGGTGCAAATTTGTCGGCACTGCAAATCAACGAACGAGCAAGCGTTGCGGATCGAATGGCGTTACCAACTGCCCGGGGAACGTGTTTGCTACTCCCCTCTTGTCTCTGAATTCCTATGCGCCGTTGGGTGTGCCAGATTTACTCGGTGTTGGGTCTATCTGTTGCTGCTACACAAAAGAATCTATCCTTTTCGGCTTCTTTCATGCATAGGTCTCTCAAGAGATCGTGGATTCCGAAACGCTTTATGTCTCCATGGTGCCCAAGCTCTTGAACTAAGATAAGATTTCGCTGGACGAGATCTTTTAAGTACTCCTCGGCGGCGGCCTCTAGGGTTTTATCTCCGATCGGTTTCAAAAACCCTTCGGCTATCCATAGATTGACGAGCGTGGAGGCCTTCACCAGTTGGTCCTCGGGGAATATTCCCATGTAAATAAAACACGGCTTTAGATGGACCGGCAAGTGGTTATAGCTCAAACTTAGTATTCTCAAGCAACGCTCGTTGTCGTTTAAATTCACTACCGAATTTAGATTCTCCGCAATGTATTGCCAGTGTGTGAGCGTTTGGACGGACATTGCGAGTAGTCCTCCGGTCACCACGATCGACAGAGGAAGGCCTTTGCAATTTTTCGAAATCTTCTTTCCTATTTCTTCCAATTCCGGAGGGCAGTCTTTTTCTCCAAAGACACTTTTCCAGAACAAGTTCCAGCTGTTATCCTCATTTAGAAATCCCATCTCGAGGCCACGAGAGCCGCTCAGCTCGAAAGCCAAGTCGGACAGCCGAGTAGTTATAACTATCCTACTCCCGTTATTGTTATCGGGAAAGAAAAACTTGACCTTGTCCCATGCACGGACGCTCCACACGTCGTCCATCACGATCAAATACTTTTGACCGCATAATGTTTTGTATAATATTTCTCCTATTTCATATTCCTTCTTTTTGCTCAACATTTCCATACTTTCTATGACTTTAAGACAAACAAGGACTTGTAGGAGAATTTCTTTCGAATCGTATTGTTGGGAAATCGTAGCCCAACCGCGAAGATAAAAATGTTCCACGACAGTTGGATTTGAATACAAATTTCTAGCGAGAATGGTCTTACCAATGCCACCCATGCCAACAATGGGAAGGATCTGGCGAGCCGAGTGTTGTCCCATCAGCTTATCCATGGCTTCAAGCAAGACATCATCGAGGCCCACCATCAAGCCATGGGGCCCGGAATGGGGTCTCGGCCCGCCAGCTGGCATCGAATAATTTCTCTCTAGCTGGCATCCTATCTGCTTCATGATCTCCTCCGCGTCTTTCTTGATCAAATCCAAGTCCTGCATCACTTTCTCCAGATCTTGGTGGATCGTGGGTTTCCATAAACCTCGAAAGAATTTGAAGAAATTGGATTTGTTTTCACTTTTGGCATTTGCAGCTTGAATCTGATCGACCACATGGGATTCGATTACGTCCTCTGCTTCGTAGGATGTCTCCGCTGTACGACTCTCCAAGCGCTCGAAATCTTTGATGGAATATTTCTCGAGGAAGTCCTGCAAGAATGTGAGATTTTGTGTAAGAGATTGAATGTGTTTTGTGTGGAGAGAAATTGGAGGGCGAGGATGATTTTGGATCTGGTCTATGGTGTGAGTCAGAGAAAGGAGAGCTGCATAAGCTGCCATCTCTAAATTTGACCTCTGTTATGTTATGTTGGTGTGTGAAATTTATGAAGAAATGCAAGCACTACAAAAAAGGCAGACTTTCAATTTTGGTGTGGTGGTTTCTGAGAAGGTGGATAGATTGGAAATGGAGGGTTGCCACTTGCCAACATGTATGTACTATTATTACTATTATTATATTCATAAAAGATTGAATGTCTGAGTGAGTTAATGTGAATGGGAAAAAACAACCTACATAACCCAATAATAAAAAATTATTTCTCTCTCCTCTACTTACATAACCCAACTTTTAACAACCTACATATCTTTATCCCTAACCCAACCCAATCCAACCCAACATACTATTTATTTTATTTTAATTTATTAAATATTATCTACAATAGATTTTTTGTTATTTTTTTAGTTGTGATAAATTAATGAAAAAAATTTTAATTAAAAATATTGATTTCAAAAAATTAATATTTTAAAATACAACTAAAAAAAATATTACAAACATAATTAAAAATTGAAATTACATAATTCGGTACGAAATAAACTAAACAAGTTACAAACATTTCAAATGAAATTACACATCAACTACCATTGCCAAATTTTTCCCATATGTGCTCAATCAAGTCATTTTTCAAAGTCACGTGAGCTTCTCTATTACGGAGTTGTGACCTATTGGTCATATACGTAGATAGGTTTGTGATTCTTTCAGTCGAGTATTGAAAAGGCATATCATCTTCCTCTTCTTCTACGTCATTTCTTCTGTTCCTTCTTTGTTGCCTCCGTCCGTTTGTAGGCCTCTCGTTCATAAATTCTGTAGGATCATAATAATTCAAGTAGGCATCCCGTTCATCTTCTACTATCATATTGTGCATGATGATACAAGCCATCATAATTCTTCCCATAAAAAAACGATCCCATACTAGACATGGTCGTTTGATAAATGCAAAACGAGCTTGTAGAACACCAAATGCGCGCTCAACATCTTTTCTAGCCGCCTCTTGGTGCTGAGCAAACAATTTGTGCTTTCGAAGTTGGGGGGAAGTAATTGATTTAACAAATGTAGCCCATGAAGGATATATACCATCAGTGAGGTAATATCCCATATTTCTTTGTTGACCATTCACAACGTAGCTAATTTCTGGTGCACGACCTTCCAAAATATCATCAAATACAGGAGATTGGTGAAGTACATTGATATCGTTGCACGAACCTGGTGTTCCAAAAAATGCATGCCATATCCATAAGTCATATGATGCAACAGCTTCCAAAATAATTGTTGGTTTTCCACTTCTTCCGGCATATTGCCCAGCCCATGCTGTAGGACAATTTTTCCAACCCCAATGCATGCAGTCAATACTTCCCATCATTCCTGGGAATCCACGTTGCTCCCCCGCATGAAGTATTCTTGCCAAATCTTGTTCATTAGGCCTTCTGAGGTATTGGCTGCCGAAGTTAGAAATGACGCCTTCTACGAATTTCACGAGAGATTCCCTCGTTACAGCTTCACTTATTCGCAAGTATTCATCAACAGCATCCGCTGATGTTCCATAGGCTAACACCCTTATGGCTGCAGTACATTTCTGCAATGGTGAAATGCCCAGCCTACCAGTGGCATCACGCCTTTGTTGAAAATATTCGTCGTTGGTGGTGATTTCGCTCACTATACGAAGAAAAAGATTCTTACGCATGCGAAATCTCCGACGGAATACCTCTTCAGGGTAGGTTGGATTGTCGGAGAAGTAGTCATTGAACACATTCGCCTCTCCTCTCTCTCGTTGCCTCTCAATGACTTGCCTTCTACCTCTAGAAACGGGATTTGTTGGTTGTAAGACCATATTTGGAATACGAACAATCAAATCTTCCATAATATGATCAAATTGTTGATTTTGTTGAATCACTCGTTCTTCCCATTCATCAAATTCGATGAAATTGGAAGTTTCAGAACTAGAACTTGAATTTTCAGGTGAGTTTTCAATGGAAGACATTTCTGAACAAGAACGAATTGTCTTACCAAAAAACAAAGTTATAATTGATATAAAGAAAATAGATATGATTGTTTTTGATATCAACTTGATCTGAATCCAACCATATTATATAGGAATGTAGTATGAAGAGTTTAACTTAAAATAAAATTAAAGTAAATGTAAAAGAAAAGTAAAGTAAAGTTAATATAAAGAAAAGTAAAGTAAAGTAAAAGCAAAAGTAAAGTAAAGTAAAAGCAAAAGTAAGACAAAATGTGTAATATATTAATATATTTCAAAAAAATATTTTCAATATTTTTTAAAATAAATTAAATTATATAAAAATATATTTTATCAAATTTAAAATCCAACTTATAAAAATACCATAATTTAAAAATACTGAAAAATTATTTATATAGATAGCAAATTATTCGAAATAGATAGCAAATTTATATAGATAGCAAATTTAAAATAAACATTTATATAATATTACATATTCATATAGATAGCAAATTATTCGAAATAAAAATAAATAAGATATATTTTTATTATTTGAGTAATTAGTACAAATTTACACACTAGACCATATATGGTTTAGAGCATATAAAAAATTAGTACAAATTTACACACTAGACCATATATGGTCTAGTATGTAAACCATAATTTTTTTTTATTTACTATTTGGGTAATAAACATTTATATAATATTACATATTCATATAGATAGCAAATTATTCGAAATAAAAATAAATAAGATATGTTTTTATTATTTGAGTAATTAGTACAAATTTACACACTAGACCATATATGGTTTAGAGCATATAAAAAATTAGTACAAATTTACACACTAGACCATATATGGTCTAGTATGTAAACCATAATTTTTTTTTATTTACTATTTGGGTAATAAACATTTATATAATATTACATATTCATATATATAGCAAATTATTCGAAATAAAAATAAATAAGATATATTTTTATTATTTGAGTAATTAGTACAAATTTACACACTAGACCATACAGTTCCAAATAGCTCTTGCTCATTCATTTAATAAGTGACTATTATACTAGTAGATAGGACAATCATTAAAGTAACATGTGATTTCTGAAAAAGATTAAAAAAAAACACTTACTAAATAGACTTTTATTGAATAACTTGAATTACAGGAATTGAAAAGCTTACATCAGAATAACTAAAACGACATAAATGAAAGTTGCATGATAATAAATTACATCGACTTTCCAAATAAAATTGAAGTTAAGTGACGTTTCATCTCTTCATCTTCCGGCGATAAGTGGTCTTTTGCCAACAGCGTATTCAACACCATCATATTCATTTTCCTAATCTTCCTTTCTTCTTTCTTGCGTTCCAACTCCATCCTATCGTTCGATATTTTTGTCATTAAATCACATTCGTTCTTTCTTGTAAGTCTTAGTGCACGAATTTCTGCAGTGAACTCATCAGGAATGGAAGAAGATTGTGATGCTACCTTTTTTCCTTTTTTTTTTGCCATATCTCTACCTTCGGGACGGGAAATCACAAAATCATCACTAACTGGAGTTTCTTGATTTGAGGGAATTGAATAATCTCCATCTTCAGTAGTCCTTGATCTTTTGGAACTGCCATGGCTTTCTTCATTACTCGTTTCATCTTCAGGGCGCGAACGAGTTGAATCACGATCTAATTTTAATTCCCATTTGGGATGCTTTCGCATGACTTCTTCAAAC